GATTCTCCTGCCTCAGCTCCTCTGAGTAGCTGGGATTACAGGCATGTGCACCACGGCTGGCTAATTTTTTGTAATTTTTAGTAGGGACAGGGTTTCACCAGTGTGCCAGGCTGGTTCAAACTCCTGACCTAAATGATCCTCCCACCTCTGCCTTCCAAAGTGCTGGGATTACAGGCGTGAGCCCGCACATCCAACCCAAAATGTTGATTTTAAATAAAAATTCCACATACTCTTTCTAACATTAATAGGTTGTTTATAGACTGAGTGCTTGTGGATGTAATCCCAGCCTTTGGGAGGCCATGGTGGGAGGATTGTTTAAGCCAGGAGTTCAAAACCAGCCTGGACAACAACATTAGTGAGACCCCATCTCTATAAAAATTAAAAATTAGTTGGATGTGGTAGCAGGTACCTTAGGCCCTGAAACTACTGGCGAGGCTGAGGCAGGAGGATCACTTGAGCACCAGGAGTTGCCAAAGGCTGTGGTGAATCGTGATTGGGGCGCTGTACGCCAGTGTGAAAGAGACCTTGTCTTTTAAAAGAAAATTTAATTAAAAAAATAATAATAACAAATTCTGTGCCAACGTGGATGAAATTACCAAAGAGAAGACGGAGGGAACCGAATGTTTCTTGTTTTTTTTTTTGAGACGGAGTCGTCTCTATTTATTCCAGGCTGGAGTGGCAGTGGCAATCTTGGGCTCCACTGCAAAACTTGCCTCTCAGGTTCAAGCGATGAATCCAAGTGGCTGGGATTTAACAGGTACAGGTGCCTGCCACCATGCCCAGCTAATTTTTTGTATTTTTAGTGGAGACGGGGTTTTACCATGTTGGCCAGGCTGGTCTGGAACTCCTGACCTCGTGATTCGCCCGCCTCGTCCTCCCAAAGTGCTGTGATTACAGGTGTGAGCCACTGCACCCAGAACCGAACCTCAAATTTATGTGAAAAAAATTAACTTGAGGTCCAAAATATAGATAGATAAAAGCCAAAGATAAAAAGATAAAAGCCATATTCTTATAGATTTGTTGGAAAAGGAAATAGTTGAGCATTATCCAAAGGGACCCTAGCCCTTTAGCTATAGGAACCTCATTCATTAATATGGGTAAGAATCTTGAATTTTTTTTTTACTTCAGAAAAGTGTTTAGGAAACAAAAAGAATCTTGATTTTTTTTTTATTTCTTTTTTTTTTGAGACAGATTCTCTCTCCATAGCCAGGCTGGAGTGCAGTGGCAAGATCTTGGCTCACTGCAACTTCCCAGGGTTCAAGCAATTCTCCTGCCTCAGCCTCCCAAGTAGCTGAGACCACAGGCACGTGCCACCACACCCAGCTAATTTTTGTGTGTTTTTTTTTTTTGAACTCCTGAAAACCTCCAGTGATCTGCCGCCTTGGCCCCAACAAGGTGCAGAGATCTACAGGGTTAGATCCACC